ATCAGCCATTTCTCGTTTTGATGAGTTTTTCTACGCCTATTTATCTATCTCCGTTGTTTTCTATAATATGCCTAGCATCAGGAGCATCCAAATCACAGAGTCGTTCGATAGCGGAGGAGGCGGATGGGACCACTGCTTCCTCCGAGACCTTCTGGCGTGGCATCGCAGACGCCTCTGATTCCTCCGCTCTCTCCGCCTTCACCCGAGAGAAGCTGTCTCGGGCCCTCTCCTCGGGAGGGTCATCGGCCTCTGCTGCTGAAATTGGTCGCATGGGCGAGATGGCGGTGTTTCAGTACCTGCAGCAGGCCATTCGTCACAGTCATCAGGATGCCCAACTCACCTTCCCTAGCGGACATCCGAATCTAGGACTGGGGCGTCTGGTGGACTGTCGTTGGGTGAACGCCGATTCGGAGTCCCGGTTGCCTTACGACATCACCGTCACCCTTGAAGGTCTGCACTTCGCCTTGGCTCATTTGAAATATGTATAGCGAAATGCATTCAGCCTTGCGCTTCGTTTGAGTACTCATTGTGTACAATCTTTTCTGTAGGTTTACAGTATCAGCTACTGAGGATAACTTATGTGGCCCCGTAAACAGAAAATGAGTATAGGAACGCCTCATGCAATTAATGAAGGTGACCCTACGCATAGTTCTAGAAATAATTAATATTCTGGAATCTTAGTAGTCTTAGTCATAAGAAAAACCTAAACCGTAACCCTAATCTTAGCCCTCAAGACTTAAGAATAACGTTCAGCTTAACCCCATTTTACCTTAGCGTTGTCCTTAAACATAGCCTTCGCCCTAAGCCTAGTTTTTCTGAAATTTGGTGCAGACACCTGTTTCCTGTTTTCATGCTTATTTTAAGAGGCCATATAAATCATCCATACCGATCTTTTTTCGCATAGACTTTCGGGCTATCAAGTCACTCGCCTTAGGATTTTTAGAAGACTGGATTAACTGCCTTTTAGAGTGTTTACAGTTAAGCAGATTCATGCCCTTTTGTACGGCCATCTTTCCTCCCTCAAGGTTGGGCTCTCAACATTTTCGGTTCCCGAAATTTGACAAATTTGTTGCTGCTGCTACTGATGATGCTGCTGATAGTCATTAGGAATACTTAATTTTCACCTTTGATGGTAAGTATATGTATTAACAGATTTCCAACGGCAAAATCTTCAGGTCAACAACCTCTTAAAATCAGGCCTGATAATACTTTATTTGCAAGGTGAAAGGGTTCTATAGTCATTGAGTGCATTTTGCTAAGCGAATTCTGAGAAGGTTTCTTGGTTGTCTCCGAATTGGAGATTGTTGCATCGCCTCATCAATTTCCTCGATCTAAATTGGCCTAGGACTATTACCTACTTTCGAATTATCGTTGTCGGAATCGCAGTCCTTTGCAGCAGCCTTTCAACGACTCTGCACGGTTCTGCGACGCACTTGTCGACTACGAATCCCGCTTAGCTGTGATCTGGCTGTAGGTTGCTCGTGTGAATGCGGACCCTGTGGATTTTCCTGACTAGTTTACTTTGACTTCCACTGGACCCCAGGTTCGAACCCTCTAGTTCTTTCGGAAATATGTGCGCCATCTTGGCGTAAACCCTTTTGCGAAAAATGACTTTTTCATATGAGGCCCGAAAGTTTAAATGCGTTAGGAGATTGGCAGATTTAAATAATTTTGGTTGACCCAATTGTGAAAAACTCATGGCCTTGGAAATCCTGCCTGGCAGTCTACCGTATCCGTACTGGTGGATTCCATACGAGCAGTATGTTGGGCAAGCAAATCGAGCCAAGTGGGAATTAATTCATGGCTCACGGTGAGCCGTGTAGCTCAGTGGCAGAGCGTTAGCTGCACAAAAGCTTCCGCTGCTGTGTGGGTTCGACTCCCACCGAGGCCGCGAATTTTTCACAATTGGGTCAACAGAATTATTGAAATCTGCCAAACCCCTAACAACCAAGGTTAGCATATTAGTCCATCCGGTGGACCCTAGATGATTACTTAGGAAATCCTGCCTGACAGTCAGCTTACTGCGTCCGTATTGGTGAATTCCATACGTGCAGTAAAGCTGGGCAAACAAATCAACCCAAGTGTGACTAAATTCACGGCTCACTGTGAGGCTCGTAGCTCAATGGGAGAGCGTTGGCTGCGCAAAAGCCGCCCACCGAGGCCGTGAGTTTTCCTCAATTGGGTCAACTGAAATTATTGAAGTATGTATTTGGGCTAAGATTGATCAACGTCAGCTTAATAGCCTTGCAATACAGACAGTCGTCAACTTACGAACGAATGAAGTGCTGGAAGGCCGTTCGTAACTTGAAATTTTCATCAGGGTTTGACGTGGAACTGTGCTTTATTCAAACTCACTATTTAATAAATTAGCCTGATAATAACTAAGTGCAAATTTGTTTTTATCCTGCTTTCGAAGGAGGCCTCTGTCCTCGTCTGTGACGCCGGTTTGGCGTGCCGCCGATTCAAAGGAGTCAATAAAGGTGACCGGATCAGCTTCGATAGTGTTAAACCCAAATCCACGTTGCAGAACTTTTGTTTGAAACTCGGTTATTCGTTTTGACGAGAGCTTGTGTACTAATGCTTGCTTGGTCTGTGGGTATTGTGCGGTCTGCGGTGCTCCGAACTTAACCGATAAGCCTGCATCTCTGTCCGCACGTATCTGTCGTGCCAAGGATAGCAAAGTGTTCTCTAAGGCGATGGTGGTCACCTTATTACAGCGACAATGGACAAGCATCCTGAAGTTCTCACTACTGCATGCCCATTTCTGTAGTCGGAGATGAAAGGTTTTAAACAGCACCCCGGTTCTTCGCTGACTGTGTCGAAACAACGTTTGTTTGGCCACCTCTTTGAGAAGAAGAAGACGACTCGATCGCTGGGACAATACTTTTATTCGCCCGACGTTTCGAGATCCGTCGCGGATTCGTCGTCAGAGACCTAATCAGAGAGCAGTAGCACTTAGCCACCTCTTTGTTTTCAGAAGGCCTGTAGGACAGCTTTTTTTGGCATGGCCTAGTCCTCAAAGCATTTTTTGAGGAAATAGAGTTGTGCATAATTCGAAGCCTGACGTAGGGTGGTTTTTTTCCCGCACGATAGTTCGACCATTGGTTTCGACAATGACTACATTATGCTTCACAATAGGATGGGGGCAGGAACGGTGAATTGCGCTGGATTATAGTGAAATTGGACTTTCATGGCATCTACCTCGCTCTCTATCTCTCTCTCCCCTTACCCACCTGGGCCCGGTTTCAAGACATGGTCAAGAAGACCAGATACTAGTTCACAGACGCAGACGGATAATAGTCCAGACACGTGTTTACACCAGAGAGCATACGAGGAGGAACGCTGTTTGACCCATTGGCGAGCCAAACCCCTCGCAGCTGCGTCATACAATGTCATAAAATCGGTCTCCTTGCTTTTAGCCAGTCGGTAGAGTGAATCATTACACATTCCATGTCATTGTACATGTCGGTCTGAAGCAGCAACTAGTGTCAGTCAAAACCCGTGCGCGGTGGGTTTGAAATGCACTGCTACCGTGTTTCTAAGCATTCAGCGCTTAGAACACAAACGCTGAAACAGACACGCATACTGATTTTAAACGCATGGTGACCTAACTTTTCTCGTGAAAAATCCACACATAATAATTTGTTTGACACCGCGAGCCCAATTGTCACAGCATCTTCTGATGACAGAGCAGGGGCGGGAGATATTAATTGGTGATCATTTGGTAGATTGGCTGGCGACGAATTGGACAGCATGAGAGCTAGACTTGGTCCGATATGCTGCCGACTCACCTCTTTCACCTTGTCCAATAG